AATGTGGTTGTAGCAGGAACGACACACAGAAGGTAATAATGTGGTTGTAGCAGAAACGACACAGAAAGTAATAGTGTGGTTTTAGCAGGAATAACCCAGAGTAGGTAGTAGTGTTTTTGTAGCAGGAACCAAACCCAGCATGTAGTAGTGTGATTGTAGCAGGAATAACGCACAGCAGGTAGTAGTGTGATTGTAGCAGGAATAACGCACAGCAGGTAGTAGTGTGATTGTAGCAGGAATAACGCACAGCAGGTAGTAGTGTTGTAGCAGGAGCAACACACAGCGGGTAGTAGTGTGGTTGTAGTAGAAACAGCACACAGAAGGTTATAGTGTGGTTGTAGTAGGAACAACACTCAGTAGGTAGTATTGTGGTTGTAGCAGGAAAACACAGGAGGTAGTAGTTTGTAACAGGAACAACACACAGCAGACAATAGCGCGGTTCTAGCAGGAAGATACAGCAGGTAGTAGTGTAGTTGTAGCAAAATCAGCTCACTCCCGGTTATAGTGTGGTTGTAGCAGGAACATCACTCAGCAGGTAGAAGTGTGGTTGTAGCAGGAATAACACACAACAGTTAGAAGTGTGGTTGTAGCAGGAATAATACATATTAGGTAGAAGTGTGGCTGTAGCAGGTACAACACACAGCAGGTAATAGTGTGGTTAAAGCAGGAAGAACACACCAGGTTGTAGAGTGCTTGTAACAGGAACAACATACAGCAGGAAGTTGTGTGGTTGTAGCAGGATGATACAGCAGGTAGTAGTGTGGTTGTAGCATGAACAACACACAGCAGGCAGTAGTGTTGTTGTAGCAGGTACCACACAAAGCAGGTAGAAGTGTGGTTGTAGCAGAAGTAACACACAACAGGTAGTAGGGTGTTGTAGTAGGAACAACATACAGCAGGTAGAAGTGTGGTTGCAGTAGGAACAACACAACGAAGGTTTTAGTGTGGTTTTAGCAGGAACAACACACAGCAGGTTATGGTGTGCTTGTAGCAGGAACAACACAGAGCAGGTTATAGTGTTGTAGCAGGAATAACACACAACAGGTTATAGTGTGGTTGTAGTAGGAGCAACACACATCTGGTTATAGTGTGGTTGTAGCAGGAACAAAGAACAGCAGGTAGCAGTGTGGTTGTCGCAGGAACAACACTCAGAAAGGAACAACACACAGCGGGTAGTAGTGTGGTTGTAGAAGGAAAAGCACACAGAAGCTTAGTGTGGTTGTAGCAATAACAACACACAGCAGGTAGTAGTGTGGTTGTAGCAAGAATAACACACAGCAGGTAGTAGTGTGATTGAAGCAGGAAGAACACAGAAGGTAGCAGTTTGGTTGTAACAGGAACAACGTACAGCAGGTTGTAGTGTGGCTGTAACAGGAACAATACTCAGCAGACAATAGTGCGGTTGTAGCAGGAAAATACAGCAGGTAGTAGTGTGGTTGAGCAGGAACATCACACAGCAGGTAGAAGTGTGGTTGTAGCAAGAATTACACACAGCAGGTAATAGTGTTGCTGTAGCCGGAACAACAGACAGCATGTAGTAGTGTGGTTGTACCAGCAATAATTCTCAGCAGACAATCGTGTGGTTGTAGCAGGAGGATACAGCAGGTAGTAGTGTGGTTGTAGCAGGATCAACACACAGCAGGAGTAGTGAGGTTGTAGCAGGAACAACACAGAGCAGGTAGTAATGTTGCTGTAGCAGGAGCAACGCAGTAGTGTGGTTGTAGTAGGAACAGCACACAGTAGGTTATATTGTGGTTGTAGCAGTAACAACACACAGTAGGTTATAGTGTGGTTGTAGCAGGAACAACACACAGCAGGTTATAGTGTGGTTGTAGCAGGAACAACACACAGAAGGTAGTAGTGTGGTTGTAGTAGGAACAACACGCAGCAGATAGTAGTGTGGTTGTAGTAGGAACAACACACAGGAGGTCGTAGTGTGGTTGTAGCAGGAAGGACACAGAAGGTAGTAGTTTGGTTGGAACAGGAACAACGCAAAGCAAGTTGTAGTGTGGTTGTAAGAGGAACAATGCACAGCAAGTTGTAGTGTGGTTGTAGCAGGAAGAACAAGGAACGTAGTAGTTTGGTTGTAATAGGAACAACGCACAACAGGTTTTAGTGTGGTTGTAGCAAGAACAAAACACAGCATGTAGTAGTGTGGTTGTAGCAGGAACAAACAGCAGGTAGTAGTGTGGTTGTAGCAGGAACAACACACAGCAGGTAGTGCGGTTGTCCAGGAATACACAGTAGGTAGTAGTGTGGTTGTAGCAGAAACACACAACAGTTAATGTGGTTATAGCAGGAACAACGAGCAGCAGGTAGTAATGTGGTTGTAGCATGAACAATAAACAACAGGTAGTAGTGTGGTTGTACAATAATACACAGCAGGTAGTAGTGTGGTTGTACAATAATACACAGCAGGTAGTAGTGTGGTTGTGGTAGAAACAACACACAGCAAGAACAAGTGTGGTTGTAGCAGGAATAACACACAGCCGGTAGTAGTGTGGTTGTAGCAGGAAAAACAAACAACAGGTAGTAGTGTGGTTGTACAATAATACACAGCAGGTAGTAGTGTGGTTGTGGCAGGAACAACACACAGCAAGAACAAGTGTGGTTGTAGCAAGAACAACACACGGCAAGTTATACTGTGCTTGTAGCAGGAACAACACAAAGCAGGTAGTAGTGTTGTTGTAGCAGGAGCAACACACAGCAGGTAGTAGTGTGGTTGTAGTAGGAACAAGATTCAGCAGTTAGTAGTGTGATTGAAGCAGGAAGAACACAAGTAGTTTGGTTGTAGCAGGAACAATACACGTCAGGTTGTAGAAATAACACACATCAGGTAGTAGTGTTGTTGTAGCACGAACAACACACAGCAGGTAGTGAGGTTGTAGCAGGAATACACAGCAGGTAGTTGTGTGGTTGTAGCATTAGCACGAAACAGTTAATTAGGTTGTAGCAGAAACAAAGAACAGCAGCTAGTAATGTGGTTGTAGCAGGAACTCACAACAGTTCATATGGTTGTTCAGGAACAACGAAGATCAGGTAGTGGTATGGTTGTAGTAGGAATAACCTACATAAAGCAGTAGTGTGGTTGTAGCAGGAGCAAGACACAGCAGGAAGTAGTGTGGTTGTAGTAGGAACAACACACAGCAGGTAGTAGTGTGGTTGTAACAGGAACACGCAGCAGACAGTAGTGTGTTCGTTGCAGAATCACACACAGCTGGTAGTAGTGTCCTTGTAGTAGGAACAACACACAGCAGGTAGTAGAGTGGTTGTAGCAGGAACACGCAGCAGACAGTAGTGTGTTTGTTGCAGAATCACACACAGCTGGTAGTAGTGTCCTTGTAGTAGGAACAACACACAGCAGGTAGTAATGTAGTTTTAGCAGGAACACGCAGCAGGTAGTAATGTAGTTTTAGCAGGAGCACGCAGCAGGTAGTAGTTTGGTTGTTGCAGGAACAACAAACACGAGGTAGTAGTGTTGTAATAGGAATAACACACAGCAGGTATTAGTGTGGTTGTATCAGGAACAACACACAGCAGGTTATAGTGTGGTTGTAGCAGGAACAACAACAGGTAGTAATGTGGTTTTGGCAGGATAAAGAAACATAAGGTAGTGTGTGGTTGTTTCTGGAAGAACAAACAGGACGTAGTGTGGTTGTAGCAGGAGCATCAAACAGCAGGTTGCAGTTTGGTTGTAGTAAGAACACTCAGCAGGTAGTAGAGTGGTTGTAGTATGATTAACAAACAGCAGGTAGTAGTGTGGCTGTAGCAGGAACAACAAAGACCAGGTAATAGGGTGGTTGTAGCATCAACAACAAACAACATGTAAGAAAAGAAAAAATTCTCTATTTCTTTCATTATTGTATCAGTAAATTGAATTGGATTGTTATTTACGTTTTGTCTTCCAAGCACAATACTCAACACTTTTATTTTTCGTTTTATTGTGATAAAGCGTTAAGCCAGCAAGTATCACAGAGCGTCTGGGAAATGGGGGAAATTGATGATTAAGTTAGGATACCTCCATTTCACTGGTTTAGGAGTCCTACACGCTTGAAGGGTCTTGCTTGCATTTATTTTATCCTCAAAATGCAGGAGCCGTGTGGGATATTCAGCACTGGACTCAGTATTGGGTAATATTACTATATAAATAGTTTAGATAACCGATAAGCTGATGAATGAGTCACTAGCGCGACACTTAAGAATCTTTACTGAAGAAACGTTGAGCTAGCTACTGGCTGGCGTAATATTTCCTTAGTAAAGAAGCCCAAGTGATACACAGTTGTGTCTTATTCCTGGTACTGGAATGTTCGCCACTGTCTATTTAGTTCGTACTGACTTTGTACAAGTCGGCCTTTTATTTGTACTATCTCTCGTGTAATGTTCCTTAATGCTGATGACTGGCTTTTAATCCAGGGAATTGGACTTGCCATTTCCCTTCAGTCGAACCTAATAGCCTTCCATTTGCCAGGCGTTGTATGACCCATACTGGTTTAACACTCTCCCTAAGGTAGGGGTACAGGGTGTTTGGTCACTTCATGGCCTAAAGAGGACTGGAGATACGCTACTTCTCGGATCAAACCCGACTGCTTCCCCTTCCACCAGGGGATTTAACTGACCCCTACCGGTTTAGCGCTTCCCCACTATTATTGCAGGGAGTCTCACACAGTCAGCTGTATGCCATTATACTATTAGCTCTGTACTGGCATTTTTGAGCCAGTGTATGGGGGCAGTATTTTGATCATGAAGCGCAAAATCCGCAGGGGTTCTGCGTCGTCTGAGGAATGAGTCCTTGAACCAAGATTCCTTCACCAGTATCAAGGCAACCATCATACCCCCCACCCCCCTTGAAGGCAGAATAATGGATTCACAATCCCAAAATAAAACGTCTTGATGGGTTTAAAATTTATTAAGAAGCAACATATGTATACAGTTATTCAGTAATCTTCAAAACTCTACCCAAATATTGTATCTTAAACCCAACGCTTTGGAAAGAAAATAAAGATGAGAAATACTGGCAAAATATTTCCCTGTTAAGACAATATCAATCACTGCTAAACAACGCAAATCAACACCTCTAGGATAGTGAGGAAAACAACACTACCATCTACATGGGAAGGGTCTCGCGCAGACAAATATTTCGGGGGAACAAATACAGTTGTTTGTATCTATGACAGTGTTGCCGCGAGACAGGAACGCTAGTCTGGCGACTCAAGCTCCTAGGTGCCACACCCCAGGGCCACCAACACAGATTAGGTATAGTTTGTACGCGGTTGCCGTGGTGTTGGCACGCTTAGAGAGAGGCACTGGCCAGCGCGCATGCATGGCGTCAACACCACAGAAGAGCACAGTGGAGACTCGTCCTTGGCTAACAGAAATGAGGGACCATTTACATATTACGATATTTTTTCCTCTCGTGTTCTCACTCTCATTCAGCTTTACCTGTCGGTCCATGATATAAACATTCAGAGACTGATTATAATGTCAGGTTTGTATGCGAACAGAGTGACTACCCACCTTGGTTTATGTAGTGGTTCGCACCTTTGTTTACCAGCAATTTCAAAATAATTTTATGACATTTTATATATATGAAGATTGGGCTACAACTTACTTTTTTTTCCCAGTAAATGTTTGCATTGTGACACTTTGGAAATAAATTTTGATATGTAGTAAATGTAATTTATTTTACTGAGAATGTGAGAGGTGGGCAGCTACCTTGAAAGCCTAATGCTCTTCCTGACCTGCTGGAGGTTTTAACTTCCATTTCCGACATTAATTTTCAAGTGATTATGTCGATCCTCCCGAGGGTTGTGGAAAGTTAACTTTGAGCTCTGGGTAACACATGTTAACAAGAGTTGTGATGCAAGTTAATTTTGAACTTTTTTGTAACATCTGTTAACGTGTGCTTTCGGGGGCTTGAGAGTACATTCAGAGGGCGGCAATATCATGACGTTTGGATCAGCCTCTCCGTTCGTTTTCTTACAAAACGCTTAAAACTAACACTTGATTCTGGTCGACCACTTCACTGTAAGCATTAAGTGCTTCAATAGCAATACTTTGTTGTAAAATTTCTACCTAGGAGACTTAGCACATGAGAGTAACGTGTGCTGCTGAGTTCAGTACACGACACCATCTCGCTATGACTGATTGCTTTGAATCAGGTTATATTTGATTACTCGGATAGTTTTAAGCGTTGAATAAGAAAGCGAGCGCTTGAGTCTTATTGGAGGCCTTGTTAAGGCTCGTTTTCCATTCAACATCACAAGGAAAATGAGGCTCACAGCAAACAAGGTGGAAATCTAAGTCATTACTAGAAATTTCTGTTCCAAGAGTTTGTTGAAAAGATAAAAATGTAATTATTTAAACTGCTAATTTTTCAGCAATGACCTAAGAGTCCGCTCCTCCTCTCTTTGGGTAAAACTACAATAAAGTTAATGTTGAAAGTGGGGAGTTTGAGGAGGTTACGGTCTCCGTTGAGGAGGATGATGCATAGGCCTGCCAAACGTGGAAGTATCGTAACATCTCTGAATTAATCAGGTGATAAGAGAAGGAGGTTCTTCAACGTGTGGCAGACAAAGAATGACACGATGGCAGTGGGATAATAAAAGCTCACTAACATTACTCTTACACCTTAATCAATATCAGTCTCTATAAGGGGAATAGAGGGTTATTGGGGGTAATATTCACTATTATAGGAACTTTGGTCAAACTCCGTTCTGGTAGTTCTTTCTATAAATGATATTTGTATAAAATATAATACAACATAACTCCCAGTATAGCAATGGCGGCTGCGGAGTCTTGCTAAGTCTTGTAGCCATGTGCAATTTTGTGGGATCCACCATAACTAGTCACCAGTTGAGGACATCCATTCTTATCACAGTACCGCGTATACCAAAATAGTATCCTCTTGTCCAGCCATCATTGCCGTCACCATCTTCTCTAATCTACTCGGCCATGCATAGTTCATAAACCAGCACCATTTATTACGTCGTTATGAACAACCAATGTCTTCAGTGGAGGGGGGGGGAAAGGATTGAAGAAATAAAACGAAAAAAATTACATGGGTGACTTTAATTATTCTAAAAAAAAAACACAAAATTAAAATTAGAAATGATATAGAATGTAAAAAATAAGATAAAGAGAGAGAGAGAGAGAAAGAGAGATAGAGGCATCTGGGAGAGAATCCACACTATCATCGTCAAACCATTCTCCCGTTCTTACTAGGAAACGAAACAATAACAAAAATAAACGGACAAAATATATTGTGTCTAACGGCGCGTCTGCAGATAGTGCTATAATGTACAGTTACTGGCAGATCTACGCACACTAAGAAAAATAATAAAAATAATTCCATTTACGCCATTCAGAATGTTACATTCAGGATTAAGTTATACAAATCAATTACAATCAATGTTATGCGCTAAAAGGCCCCTATTATCTTTTTTGGGTTACATGGCATATTTTTAATAACAGAATAAATCCATCTACTGAGTGTCAAACGTCTCCTTGAAAACAATTGTCACTGAAGAGGTAACAGAATCGTGAATTTTTTTACAGGATTGAACAAATATAATTGTACAGAGACATTACAACAGCTCAACCATTTTAACCCCTTATGGAACACAGAGAAAAGTTAATTATATTACAGTATGATGTAGCCCAGTTTCCCCTGCATTCACGATTATCTTCATTGTAACATCCCACATTAAAATAACACTATTTATATTACTAAGTTGCGCTATCACAAATTTGATAGAGGAAAAAGAGAGCCTATGATCACTACAAATATTACCTACAGAGAGATGTGCTTGTAAAACAACTTCCATCCGTTCATATGCAAACAAGCATTGACCAAGCGGTAGAAACGTAAGGGGTAGGATGGGCAATCAAAGAAAAAGGATGTAAACAAAGGAAAGTAGCTATAACTACAGAAAATGGGAACGGATTCCCTGGCAACACTTAAAAACGTGTCGGCTTGACGTACAGTATTAATAGCGAGATAACCGAGGGTGGAGGTAGTAGTGGGGTGGGTACAGAGTCAGTATAGAATAAAATACCCTGTAAAAATTGTCCCCGCTTACGGAGGACATGCGTACTTAACCAAGTGTCATGGATACTGGAGGTCATAGCATTGACCCTGTACCACCCACCTCTTTTGTCATAAAAAAAAAATCCTGGGTCTGTTGTGCTCATTGAGAAAGATCTTCCACCAATTAACATGTTACATCTAAGCTTAATCTTACTCAGCCTACTTTGTACTACACTCCACTACCGTAGTAGGGGCAACGAAACCCTTTTATATCTTTCTCAACAGGCTAAAAAGATTGCTTTTTTGCCCCATTTACATAACGGAAATTTGTGGAATAACGGTAAACTTGGTACTAAAATGCAACATCTGGATAACAAATGATAACCAACCAGGAATACGAATGCAGCACCATAACAAATATTTTTTTTAAGATAAACTCCGGTTACTCGGCGACGTGAGGATGACGCACTTATTTTTTTTTATACACACTCCTGCATTATTTACACCGGGGTCCTCTTGGGCAGCTGCTCTCACCACTCAATACCAACGATAGACTGAAAGCCCAGTTATCCTAAGTTCTCGCATATCAAGACAATTTACAAAAAAAAAAAATCTTGTTTTGGCATCAGATGCCCTCGTCACTTCCGTAGGGGAAGGAAGTAACCGTATGTGATCACTGGAGTCCCGGGCCAACCTTAATTTTCCCAGATGAACGCCCGGTAACACCCGTAATCTCCACCTCCCTGCACCTTAGACCACCCAGGGGCTAGATGGTGGGTCAGACCACGCTTCGGGGCTATATTTAACACAATTTAGACAGCGTCATACACTGTTAAGAGCAAGAAATGGCCTTTAGCTTTCAGCACAAGCCCAGTAGCCTGAAGCACACTTCAGGTGAATCCGCCTCCTGAGGGCCCAACAGCTTGTCTTACTCTGCCTATTAATATCACACCATACAAAGCGCCTCGTTAATTTCCCAATTAAAATGTGTCAATAAAAAAAATACAAATATAACGACTTTTAAAAATATAACGCTCTCGAGCGAAAAAAAATGTACATAAATCTTCATAAGGAAAATGTTAACGACTGAACGGACTCAAAAGCTGGATACACAAACGTCACTTAACCGCACCGAGGCAGTCAAGACGCTGAGGAAGATCACCCTTATCCAGACCAGACTATCAAGATTATGGCCAGGTTGTCAAGGTCATGGCCAGGCCGCCAAGACTGAGGATAGCTATAAGCAAGGACAAGAAACTGAAAACTTAAGACAGGAAATACGTGAAAATAACAATAAATAGGGAAAACCTGAAAGGATTTAGGGGCATTGCGGAAACAATAATAACACGGTCAGGAGTGGCAAAGAGAAGTGAACAAAATAAGGGCTGAACTTAACTATTTTACTTCAGTTATGGTACTCTCTTGCTAAAACGAAAATTTTGGGGGGGATTCAGTAAGCCATGCACGCAGCTTTCAGCCATACTGCGAGGACGTGTGGGTTAAGCCTTGCTGTCCAGAGCCTTGAGTGTAGACACCAGGTGACCCTATCACATAGTCTGTCACCTACCATCTCTAACTGTAACTTTGTGCTAAGGACATTTTTATTCATTAAAGTGAGGCCAAGAAACTACGTAGGGAAAGGGTGGTGATAATACTTGTCACGAATGCACTTCAGGCCATTTAAACCTCTAAATTGCGACTTATACTCTGACAAACATTAGCACTTGCATTTGTCATCATACTTCAAGAGTTAAAAAAACATATTAGCACAGACTGGAAAGTAAACTCTAGTCGCTGAATGCTGTTCAAATACCCAGAAACTTTCTTACTGTTTCCCTTTCTGAGTGAGTACACTTTGGGCTCTGGACCTTCAGCAATATTGAGGCTTCCCAAGAAGAGGAATTTTCGTTGAAAGCACAACTTGTTTGTCTAAGCTAAGGTTCCTTCTGATTGGCACATGTTGCCAGCCCACTAGAACCTTCAGCCTAAACAAAACTAGTCATGTTGAATACGAGAACTCCGCTTTAGTGTGACTTTTATGAGCCGTTTATAACAGTCAACACTTGAATTAACAATTAACACAAACATCTGTTAACGTGCCAAACGAACAAGTAGCTATGTTGAGCAAACATATTTTGATGTATAGTTTCACTTACAGTAATATCATCTGGGGAGGTTGGACTTCACTGCGGCTACTGTACAAAAATCACTCATCACTGACAATCTGAGGGCCGTATTGTAGATCCGGAAGGCTGTCAGGTGATAACTGTAGTCAGCGTGCCGTGGCTAATTAAATTTATCTTCACATATTTCACTCTTTTGACAAAGTCACATAGGTGTTACTGAATTCCCTTCAGATGTAACATCTCAGAAACTTATGAATCTCAGAAACTTGAAGTAAAACAGCCCGATTTTAAATGCGCATCGATAATGCGGCCCCAAGTATACAATGCTTACTATGGAAGTAAGCAAAAGTAGAATTTCCAAACTTTCCAAACATTCATTCATTCTTTCAAACAATTCTTTTTACCTCCTTTGTCTATGAACATCACTTTTTTCATATTATATACGACAGAAGATGTTGCTACATTCTATTATCCATGCAAATATATAGAAAACGAACCAACATTATCCTATTATTTCACTCCCTATATTCGTAAGTACAAAAGGAAACAGTAACGAGTCGTATTAGCTATGTACCCTACTAAGTACTTTTCATAACCTTCTACCCATGCATAATACAGAACTTTTGCAGCATACAAAAGTAGTGTCCTTAGAGACTGAAGTCAAAGTGTAAAGTACCTGTAAATGTTTGCGGAAGAATGTAGATTATAGAGAAGTGCTGAATACTGTAACATGTGGAGTTTTGATGCTTGGCCCCTGATTGCCTTTACAAAGTCGACTCAAGTGAGGTCTGAGAATTAAGGGTCATAACAGGTGAACCCCTGGCAGGATTCACAGCAAATCTACAGTCTTCCGAATGTTAAGCCGTTAAACTGGCTTCATACATTGGTTTTTTTTTTTTCAAAATAATAGACTTACAGTATCTAAAGTGAATCTTTAAAAAACACACATTTTCGAGTCTGCCAGAAGCTCTTCTTAAGACCCATATGTTTCATAATGGGAAAACCTGCAACTACAAGAGACTTCAGACTTTATCTGATACACACACGAGACATAACGTAGAAATAATCGTATACTTCCTGGATGGAGGAGGTTAGTACTGCCCGCGAACACGCTGGGCAGTCTTGCGTGGGCAACGAGGTTTAGGGTGTAAGAGTCCTTGTCCAAACACTGGGGACTCTTGGGTGGGATGGGGACCTTGCCAGACGCCAGGGCCAAGAGACCCGAGGACAGGGGGCCAACTGGCACAAACTTTATAAGGTATCGAAAACAATGTCATCTGGAACCGTCTATTCTTAGAGGTAGGATATAATGAAGAAAGAAATTGGCGTCCTGGCGTGTTCAGTGAAGGTAATAAGTGTGTATCTTTCCATAAGGAAAAATATCCTCTTGGAGATTAATGATTTTTTTTTTTTGTAAAAGAATATGCTGACTTAAGCAGCCATCACTGAGCAAGTCTGGACGCTTGGTAGAACAAGAGCTAAGTGGTGACATGATCAAGAAAACAAAGATGAAAAATACAATATTTTCGTAGAAAATCCTGTATACAGTTTAAAATAAAAAGAAGTGATGTTTTGTGCTACGGTCAAAGTAAAATTCTGTTTGGAGGAACCTATGGGTTTCGATGGATGGTGGAAGGCACCATAACTAGTAACAGTATTGCTTGTTTAGCTATCACGATATCGGAGAGTTGCTCACTATAACAGTGAAGAGGAACGTGAACTGTATTCTGGTGGGTTTGTACGGGACAGCACTTGGCTGCTGTTTGCTGTTGATGCTGTTGGTGCTACATGTGGGCGTTCAGAGCTCCACTACCACCACCTTGCCTCAACTCCACTCGTCCTCTTTCTTCTCCAATCAATCACATCTCCACAACCACACCATACCGGCCAGTCCTTAACAGTATCAGTCTTTACAAACATACGTGAGAAGCAGTTCCTGCAACACGAGTGTCCTCTTACGTTTAGTGTGGTTATTGCACATTTACACTAACGTTTCCCTGCTAAGCGAGCGTTCCTTAGAGTCAGCAGACTTTGTCTTACAGACCTCGTCCAGCTATCACCGGGCACGTATCACAACTCGTCACTGGGCTCTCACTGGGAGTGTGGCCACAGCTGCTGCTGCTGCCAGGTGGCGCCCTCTCCCGTGCCCCTGCCCCGTGCCATCAATACCCTGTATTCAGCCCCTCCTACCGGCTCGGTCCACACTTTGCGGCCCCAGCACCGTAGAGAAGCGTCTGAGTCGCGGGCCGCCGTACGCGGCCCACTCCCAGTCGACATCGGGGCCTGGATGTGGCCCGCATTCCACTCGACACACTATTGAGTAACACCCTTGTCCTTAAGGAGCAAGTCGGAGCTCATAGTGGGTTGGTGGGCATAGTTACGAATCTGATGGAGTGAGATGAGCTGGTTGGGGAACTGATTGGGCTTGACGTCCATGGAGGGCATTTGTGTGTGCGTCTTGGGAAAACTGATGGGATCGTATGGGAAATAACGCTGCGAAGATGACGCCGCCATGGACAACTGTGTCCCTCCGCTGATGGGCAACATACTGGTCTGTATCGGCGTGAATGCTGATGACGTCTTCGTGGCAATAGCGTCGTAGGACATGTTGGAAGCAGGCATGTGGGCGGGAGTATGACGCAATTCCTCCGCACGCGGGTCCATATGTTCCCGGGAAGCCAAGTGACGCGTCGGGTCCAGGGAATTTTGAAGACAAGTTTCCGACATGCGGCCATCCATGGAGTCGAGAGCAGTGGTGTCTGGCTTAGGCCAGTAAGGATTATCCTGCCGTAATCCATGGGCTGAGAGGGAAGGCCGCTTGTCAGGTCGTTCAGCGTGCTTTTGCATATGCTTCTGAAGGTACGTCTCCTGAGTGTAGCTCTTGCCGCAGTATTGACAAATGTGGGTCTTGAGGTGCTTGCTCTCCTTGTGTTTGGGAATGTGCTCCAAGAGTGAGGCTTCGTCTGAAAAGCACTTGTAGCAAGAGTTACATTTGTAGGGCTTGTCCGTCTGGTGACAGCGAGAATGGCTCTGCAGGTTGGACAGCTGGCTGAAGGCTTTATTGCAGCCTGGGTGACGGCATTTGTAGGGTTTATCACCTGTGTGGGTGCGGATGTGCTGCTGCAAATGGGAGAGTTGGGTAAATTTACGTTGGCATATCTCGCAGCGGTAGGGTTTGATGCCCAAATGAATCCGAGTGTGCTGAGACAAGTACGAGGAATTGGCGAAGGCTTTGGAACACTGAGAGCATTTGTAAGGCTTAGCCTCCCGCATGTGGATCTGTGTGTGGAGCTGCAGGTCTGCCTTACTTCCGAAGATCTGGAAAGAAGAAATTATGTGTTAGAAATTTGCCATAACTAAATAAAATATTACATACAGCACTTGTGAGGAGAATGATGGAAGGTATTAACGCTCAATTCAGGGAACTGGAGCACAGATCCAATTCTCGAGATCAAGAGCCCCTGACCAGCGTCAAGGAAAGATTCGCCTAGCAAAGCTAACTACGATTAGAAAATCATATATATTTTTATGAAAAAACGGGGAAAAAATTAGGCATATTTTAAAACAGTTGGTTTTCAGACATTGTGTGCAACAGTCGACTTTTATAATTACTACATTATTTTAAATTGGGTTACGTTATACTATTGCTAATTACTGCGTAACAAAAACAAATCTGACTAGGAAGTCATTTTTACCCTATATGAAAAAAAGTGGGTAAGCACAGAAACAAAGACAGTAAACGTGAGAAAGCAACGTCGTCTTTATGAGTGAAAGTTGCTTCTTCATTTCTTCACATCAGTGATAAATCCACAATTATTTAGAAGGATAAATGAAACGGCGAAGAGAGAAGCTCCAGGAAACGTAAGACACGAGATACTCCCTAATTTCTTCTCCGGGAGTATACCATTACTGCTCCTGTTTACAAATTAAAAATGCCCTTATGTTTGCTTAAATAATGGCTCCATAAACGCTAAACTCTTGCGTTGTAATGTTATGACTGTAATTACCTACAATGAAACCATTTATATGCTGAACGAGCAGCGAGGCGCTGTGTGCAACAGGTGGGGGTTACACCACACTGCCACCTTCCTCCATTACCTACGCGGAAACACCTCGCCGAAGCGCCAGGCCCGCCCATCAGCCAATTAAACACGACGTTACGCTTGTGCTCAAGTTATGATTGGTGCAGAGGCAGGACCACAAATTAAACAAGTGGTGAGCAGTGATGTGTGTGTGTCGTCTCAGCGCCATCGCCAGTGGGAGTAGGCTTCCTTAGTATCTTACCTTTGTTTAAAGGCATGTATCACAAATATATGAACATTTCTATATTAAAATTTATTGTGAAAACGAATAAAAAGCATTAACATTCGTATCATCCCTAATTTTATAATATATATATATATATATATATATATATATATATATATATATATATATATATATATATATATATATATATATATATATTATAAGGGAGAAGGATAGGATAACTAAAAGGTCGTATATATCTGGGGTGGAGAGATGAAGGGTTAGGTGGGTCGTCCCTGAAAGGGGTAGAAGGGTGGTCTTGGAGGATATGTGTACTAGGGGCTTGGACATCCAACAGGCCTGGGAGAGCGTGTTTGGAGAGTGGAAGCAAGTAGTTTTTATGATCTCACGTGCTGTTAGAGTGTAGAGTAATATTTATGAAGGAATTCAGGGAAACCAGTTAGTCGGACTTAGAGTCCTGGAGGTAGTACTACAGTATCTGCGTTCTGAAGGAGAGGCACGTCATCTGAACTCTGATGTCAGATTGAATAGCGCTGAAAGTGTTTCGTCATTTTCAGGTCACTGCCTTAGTGGGAGAAAGCCGGTGTTTAATTATGTGTCAGTTACCATTTGCCCAAGTCACTTGTCACTAAGACACTTGGCCTGTTGTTTGCATGTGTGTGTAGTGCGATAAATATTATTTTCATCTTTGATACATTATATATTGTAGGTTATGCATTTCAGAACCTGACGAAAATGGGTCACATAAATGTCCATCTTATTAACTGATTATTGAAAAAATGTCTTTCCTGTGTGATTATATATATATATATATATATATATATATATATATATATATATGTGTGTGTGTGTGTGTGTGTGTGTACGTATTTATATCGATGTAGATGCATACAATATAATCACACGTAAGCGCTAAACCCACATGGGTTTAGCATACAGAGAATAAATATGCACAAACTCATGGTGAAAGATGTTTTTTTTAATGGTCATTGACTGAAGTCAACATTAAGTGACTCGTTTTCTTCAGATTCCTGTTAAGCGCAACACACGAAATTAGATAAATAAATACAAAAAAAAAAAAAAATGATCATGTACAGATTTAAAAGTCAAATATTTGTATGTAGACACAAGGAAGTACTGACTTGACGCCCTTTAGCTGAACCACCATCCATACCACTCAAACTATATATTACGCGCATGCGTGTTGTTTACAAAATGATTCACGAAATCGTGATGACACGATTGCAAACAAACCATACCACGGGTGGGGTTAGAACCCGCGGTCAGAGAGTCTGGAGTTTTGAGACTCTGATCGCGGGTTCTAACCCCGCCCGTGGTATGGTTTCGTTGTTTACAAACTTTCGTTCGTGTACGTTTCACTTGTCAGCATCACTTTCAGCTGCAGAGAATGCTGGGCATGTGTGCAGTGTATTACATCACTGCCGGTAATATTTATCTCGTGAAATATAATCAGACTCCATTCTGAAGCCAATGATCATTATTGTGAATGGATGACTTAAAGAATTATAACCAAGGCATAAAATAAATTGGATCTGAGTTAGAGTTTGAACATTAGGTAATTAAAGCCAGGACTGAATGCTAGCGTTTCTGCGGTGAGATAATTTACCATAAAATAATTGGTCTCCCATGTTTAGACTTTCTCATTAGTTGACATCAAGTGATGCTGTGTTAGGCTGGGTCAGTGCCTACCTGACTTCGGTTCCTTTAATAATTTTACCTGCAATTTTTATATTTAAACCTAACAACATAATTTTATTCTTGTGCATAATGCTTTTCAGAAGTCAAATGGCCTTGTCACCAACAAGTTAATTTTAATTAATGTCCATAACCAACAAAATCATTCCTGTTACAATATGTGGTGTAAAACTGTACATCATCTTTTAAAAAAAATTATGTATTAAACGCTTGTCAGCGAGAAATGAGAATCCAATGTGAAAGAAACATTCAGTAAAATGTCTGTATATTTCGACCTCCAGTCGAGGTCCTCTTCAGCAGCTGTATGTCGAATTATACGTTTCAAGCCGTCTCTCCGTTTCCATGTGGGTTTCTGCCTGCATTGACATATATTCATTACAAATCACACACACAAATATAATTATATTATATATATATATATATATATATATATATAATATATATATATATATATATATATATATATATATATAATGCAATAAGATCACAGTAAACAGGTGATTTCAGATTATGCAAAACAACCATTGTGAAAAAAGAGAGAAATTCCAAGCGCTTTCTTGACTACTAACATTATCATTTGTTCCTTGATAATGTGAGTAGTCACGAAAGCGCTTGGAATTTCTCTATTTTTTCACAGTGGTTGTTTTGCACACACACACACACACACACACACACACATATATATATATATATATATATATATATATATATATATATATATATATATATTATATATATATATATAAACACTGATCTCTGTCTGAAGGAGACTCGAACCTACGAACCTCCTTCAGCAGAGATCAGTGTTTGTGTATATTTCGCCTGCTCTTGCGAATTTTTTATATATATATATATATATATATATATATATATATATATATATATATATATATATATATATATTATATATATATAATGCCGTGCCGAATAGGTAAAACTGGTCAATTAGCAAGAACTCGTTTAAAATTAAGTCCTTTCTATAATTTTCTCATATACGTTTAAAGATTTTTTTTTCATTTATGTTAATGTAAAAATTAATAACTTCGTACCAGAGAACTTTAGAAAACTTACTTAACCTTATTATAACAAGTGTGAAATATATTTTTTCGTTAGGTTCAGAATGACTTTTGCGAAATTATTGCATGCATAAATTTTCGCTTGCCTTATTCGGCACGAAACACGAACACAAATACACACACACACACACATTAATTTTTGTATAAATTTTCTTTCATGTGGTTTGTTCTTGCTTCTTTTATAAGTGTCCCATTTTACCCCTCGCATAATAACATTACGCAATCAGGACAAACTCTACAAATCGTACTGGACAGTATTTCGTCAGTTCTTTCTTTCCTGGCCGCCTCCACTGCCCCAGAAGCAATATCCCCGGCCATCCTTTCCCATTAGATAATAAAAAACCGTTAGGATGCTCCCGACAGATCTATATCCGTGGTGGTTCCTCAAGGGTTAAAGAGACCTACCTTCCTACACCAGCGGTCCAGCCCTCTCACACGGCCCACCCTGCGCAGCCCTTTATTCTCTCACCCCCTTCGCCCATAGGTCTATCGTGCCTTGCCTTACAGCTTGCCTGCCTTGTACCACAGCTTGCCTGGCTTGCCTCACAACTTGCCTACCTTGCCTCACAGCTTGCCTGCCTCTGCCTACACCTGCTGCATTTGCGTCTTTTCTCTCTGCTTCATTATCAGAAAAATGTAAATGCTAAGGAAAGTTTTTATAGACACAACATATCGGCCGAAGAAGAGCTTGATAAAGCTCTCCTTAGAGCGAAACGTTGTCGCAGTAGAGGTTTGTTCTGCTCCATGTCTTTGCCTTCATTTTTGGTGGCAGTTCGCGTTTTAAAACCAACATTACTGTGAACCTCAAAACTCGTCTTGTAAGCAGCATTTTGAGCGTTTGAGTGTGAGCACACTGTTCACATGTACACTGTGCAGCGCACATAGTGAAACGTTTAAGTAACTATAGACGTCGAACTGTGTGTGTGTGTGTGTGTGTGTGGTTCCTTTATTTTCGTAATTCCACAGTCACATTTCTACTACCCAAGCACCAAGATTATATTCCAAGGAAGAATCTTCGCCTGGTGTTAAAATATAAAGAATCTTCTCAACACGCCTTCAAAAAAAAATCCCTCCCAAAAAAGCGGATACAGGAAGGTTAGCTTTAATTCCAAGATGAAAAATAGGGGTGAGAACCCACGTGGTCAGACCATAATGTGCAGCGTATTCCCTGGTCACATCAAGGCCGCCAGTGTAAATAAAGCAGCAGCTGACGTAGGCCCACCCATGAATAGCCAGAAGATAAGGACACTTGCGGCC